TTAGTCCAAGAATTCAGTCATGGAGAAGTGTTGATGAAAGCACAGTGTGGTCTTCCGAAAGTATTTTTAGTGATGTTATCTGAAAGATGTATGACATGAACCACTACTAAGAGACTGTAGAGGCCCTAAAACAGGCATTGTTCATTTGTTTCCTTGTATGACAGAGACAAGTTAGTGATGCAGACAGATGAAAACAAAAAGATTGACATAATGCTTTAAAATGGCCTTGTTTGTGCAACCCATAGAGTAAACAGATGCAATTCTGTTCTTACTTGTAAGGCTAGTTATAGGGCTAGTTGCAAGGTTGGGTTTTTTTTGGTGTGACAAATTTTCCATATAATAGGAGCATGTGTGTATCCTTCAAACACTTCAAAAGTACAGGTGAGCTGGACAGTTGTATATTTTGTGGGTCTGGATTCCTTACAGTACATTTTTTTTCTTTTATTTCAGTCTTGCAGAAATAAGTGTCCAAACACTGCATCACTGTCTGTCTATGATACTTTTCATGCAATTTGTTATGAGGAGGTGCTAGATCTTATGGAGTTGAGTGGCATGATCCTAGTCATCACTGGATTGCAGTATTCTGCTTCTTTCCACCACTATATATGAATTAAATTCTCAGTAATGTTTGGTACTTATGAACATAAATCATCCACCTGAAATATTTTTTCCTGTGTTTACCTGAAATCTGGTAACCCTTAGTTGCCAGTTTTTTTTCTAACCAAACTAGTTTTGTGGATACTTTTTGTCTTCCACTGACCTGATGTTTGTCCTTTTAATAGTCTCGGTTCTATCAAACTATGGATCTGTGAGGTTTATGAACACTTAGAATTCTCACACTCAGTCTCATGTACTGTACTCTCATTCTATTTTCTAGTTCTCTTCCTGTCGTTAGAAATGGTGCTTCATGAATGCCTGGTATCTGCATACACATAAATGGGTGTTGGAAACACCATCTGTTTATTTAGTTAAACATTGAAGAATTGATACTTAGCATTATTAGAAATATTTTAGGATATTATTGAAGTATTCTCTTTCACTTTCAGCAAAAGAAGCTACGATGCTAAGAAATAATTATTTTGCTGATACAGCAACCACTGGAAAGAGTTTGCAGCTCTTGCTTTGGTTGAAGGAATAGCAGGATTCTTGTATTTTATCTGTCTGGCCGATTCATAGATGTGAGAGGGAGCTGGCCAGAAGTCAGACAGGCCGAACATGCGGCTTTCTTATTTACTCTAGTGCAGGGAGAAGAGATCTTTTTTTAAGAAGTATTTTTTTCTAAAGTATTACATGTAAAAAGTATAATGTGGTTTACAATGACGGTGTTTTTGAGTAACTGCAGTGCTGAAAACTTGCAGAAGACCAACTAAATCAAACACTTTTTAACGATGTGGTTAGTGGAGCTATAGCTTGACTTCAGAAACATTAGCATCTTAGTAATGCTTTCAAAACATATGTATAGTAGTGTTCAGATGGATACAGAGCTTTAGCAAGCAAGTAAAAGGCTCCTTTTGGCAGCACCTTGGAACCAAGTTCCTCTTTCACTGCTGCCTTTGCTTTATGTTCAATTACTAAGCTGCAAGAAACAAGTTACAAGGGAGGAAGCATTTTTTTTAAAAACTCAGAATTCAGCAGAAATATATTGGTATGATATAGCATCTGTCAATGAGCAAATGTGTTGAGATCTTCATTCATACAAATTACCAAAGAGATATAAAATATTAATGGCTTTAGGCCGCCAGTGTACATGCATCTTTCTTTTTTAAGATCCATGTTTTTGATTTAATCAAACAGTTAAAATTTGCAGGAAAATGGAAAAATATTCCCATCCTTTTTCTGAAGACAAATAGTAATTTTGACTGTGTTCTTTATCTGAGTCATATTAGAAAATGTAGTAATTCTGGTTACCAAATTATTTCCTTCTGCAATGCATTCTTCGGCACTTTTCTGTGTGTTGGATGAACAGTATTAAAAGGTTGGTTCGCTCTTTTATTTTGGTCACTAAAATTAAGGAATTCTTCCAAAGTTTATTCTGCAAATGGTTTTTGAAGAGTAGATTATTTTATTACATTTGATACTTAATACCCTAATGAAGAAAGTTTTAAGCTTCAGAAAGATTACATCTGTATAATGGCATGCAAGTCTACCCATCTGATGTTCCATATGAGAAGAAATCTGAGAATTAAATAGGATATATTTTTGTTTTCAGTTACTGTGTAGTAAAGCCATTGTAGTTAGTGGCTTCCACCAACATTAAAAACTGTTAGGTAAGACAGTGGGCCTGATGCCATGTAATACAATGTTGCTCATTTCAGCATGTAGTTTTTGAAAGTATTTTTTGCTGGTTTTCAGCAGCTAAACTAAAGTTTAGCTTCAGAGCCAGATGTTTAGGTAACTTTTAAAGAATGAATTCATAGATACCCTTGAGGGACAGATGAGTGTTGTCCCATTTAACTGGAGAAGTTTTTTGAAAGTCCACTTTGCCAGACTCTTGTGGCAGAGTATTGATGTTATAGTAGTTGTCTGGAGTCTCTATCTACTGCAGGTGAATTCAGGAACATGTCCTGAGTGTGCTGGAAACCATGAAACAGAATGAAAAATGTTGTTTTGCTTTAGTTATTATTAGTTTTAATTGATTTCCTAGTTTAAGAAGAGCGTATTGAAAAAAATCACAGACTCAGAATGTCTTGCTTAACATGTGCCTGGTAAGAACTTTCTCCAGAAACTTTCATATCAAATCTCCTTAGAAATATTTAAAGAAAAATGAAAAATTGTGTGCAGCCTTCTGTTATAAATGGAACTCCCAATGCAAGCTAATATAGTACGGAGTGAGAACTCTGAACCTGTTCTGTTCAGTGGAGTACTACCATGGGATCCTAATCTGTTTAAGACTTGAAGTCATGCTCCTTTTTTCACAGAGAAGACTTCTGTCTGTCAGTGTCAAGTCTTTACAACTGCTGATCTGTACTTGTAGATCGTGATCCGTAGGCATCTGTAAAACAGACATGATCCTTTGCCTTGTTCTTGTTGGTACTTCCAGATTATAAACGTGCAGTAGTTCACAAAGATGCTTATCAGGCTAGAACATGAGAATTATTGGAAGTTAGCGTATTATCAGATTGTGAATTGAAAGAGGGTTAAGGTTAAGTCTTTTGTCTCTGATGTTGTGTAATGAAATCTTGGTTTAGGCCACATGTGAAAATGAGAAGGCTTTTTTCTGGTTTTCAATGCAAATGTTTCTCTACATCTTAAAATGGCAATGTAGTTCCTCAGGAGAGATACCAGAATTCAGAAACATATTTTGTTGGTCTAATTAAAGGTGTAATGCTGAAATTTATGACAAAACTGTAGAAACCCTATAATGCATACATCTGTAGTCTGATTGGCACTAGAGGATTTTCTTTTTAAACTTGTAAGGAAGTTTGTGTAACTGTCTTTCTAGTGACCAGAAGTAAACTGTAAGTTACAATTACGTTACAGTGAATATGTCAGTCTAACTCTTTTGACAAATAAAGAGGGTAAAAATAGGCCTTCATATTCTGTACAAATAAGCTAAGATTTGTGGGCAGATCTCTTAAAGAAAAAGGTTGGTTTTAGCAGTATTCAAACCTGAAGAAAAGAACGCAGGGAAATGTTGTTATCTGTATTAGAAAAATAATCAGGAACTCACTGAAGTCCTGAAATTTGTTCAAGTCTTCACGGCTACACTTTGGAGAAGCAAAACAGCAATGATGAGAGAGCAGAACTAGTTACTAGTATAGCTTCCTTCAGTAATCTTGGCCAGACCCCTGAGCTTCTTAAGTCATTTTCACTAAAATAAACTGACTCAGGGATAAACTTTGTTCTTTTCAAGAAGGTTCTCCAGACTTTTGGTATCTTTCTGGCTCACAATCAATTGTAGCAAATTAAGATGTTGTCATTCTCTATTAGGGTTGTCGCTGTGTTCCAATTAATGCCCAAAAAAAGGAGTGACAAAAAGTATATATGCACCTCAGCCATTGTAGTGCAAAGTCTAATGGGTTTGTTTAAACTAACAAGAGGAAGGGTTAAAACTAAATTGGGAGACTAGTACGTGTGCATCTGGTGCTTCAGCATAATGTTTTGTTCTGCAGGCAGTGCTTTGAGGGCAATAACTGTGGGCAGAGAAGTGAAGAAGGTAGTTGAAAATAATAACTTCTTAAACTGGTGCTGTTAAATTTCCTAAAGGATGTTTGCAAAGACTGAAGACATAAAGGCACACAAGGATTTTGTACAAAACTAGTTTTATTAATTTTACATGATGTTTTAAAAAATAGAAATTGGGGTAAAGTGGTTATTCTAAACTAATTGAAATGAGTAATTTATTTCCTGTTACACCAACATGTACAAAAGTCTGCATTTTAGTGTCCAAAATGAGATTACTTTTTGTTCAAAAATTTTTGTATTAGTAATGCTTTAGGATTCCATCAAGAACATAAGGAAATCCAGGTGCACTTAAGGAAATGTGTATTTTTCTTTCAGTAATTTATGAAGAAACTGTATTAGTTGGGCTGTGGAAGATAATTTTTACAAAACTTTTTAAGATAATATGTATCTAGACATGCTTATAATAAATTTAGTTCTGGTTCTGTTTAATAAATTATAAACTTTGTTGTATATCAGTGAATTTTCCCAATGCAAGATTTAAAAGCAAACGGTAAGACTCTCTTCCAAAGGAGGAGACTTTACAGAACATTTTTTTACATTTAACAGATATGTATATTTTTTTCCTATATATGTAATTAAAAGTTCATATGCAATATAACTTACTTGAAAATCTGGAGATAGATCCTTAAAATCTGGAGATAGATTCTTAAGAAAGCTTTGACTTCCTTTTGTGTGTATTTGTCTTTGGCACTTAGTGTAATCATCAGTGATTCTTCTGCTGTGTGCAGTATTTCTTGTATTTTACATTTAGAGTAATGTACTATAGATCTGGCCAATGTATATTTAGTTATATATATTTTTTTTTCTTTTCAACATAGGTTTTTTAAAACTTTTAAGTACTCCACAATTGTCTCCATATTGGAAGCTGTTCAAGCAAGCGGACACTGTCCTAAAGAGTAAGAAACATCTTTTATTTTGGGGATTCATGAAGAATCTGGTTCTGATACAAAACAACAACAGTTCTGATACAAAATTCATGTCACTTCACATAGATAGCGAACAGAGATGGAAGCATTTTATCAGCCTTCACCTAAGTGTGTGTTTGGGCACATGCTTAATGTTTATGAATTTTAGGGAAAATCTCTGTACATCATTTAAGTGTCCCTATTAATGCAGAGCCGAAACACTTTAGCAACCTTTAGAAGAAGTCTTGAAGTTACTGAATAATAAAATGAGGATAAATAATATAATATATGTGTACCAAATTAGTACTGAATAAAGTTTTTCACTGTAACATTGTAGGCTTTTGATAGTGTTATAACCAGTTTATATCTTTGACATATATTGCAACATTGTCCCAAAGATGTGGGGAGAAGAAATAGTGTTAAAACCTGCCTCTTAATGCAGTGATGTATACTATCTTATCTTTTGATAAAGATTAGAGGTTGAACTGTATTAGTAGTCTTGCAAAGGTGTTTAACAGTGTCACCAAGAAACTATGTTTAGGGAGGGGATAATCTGTATTTATTGGAATGGGAGGATGCTCTGTGCCTTGGAGAGAATGATCATGTGTTTGAAAGGGTAGCATTGTTTATGGAAAAAAACACTAGTATAGACTGTAAGTTCATATACTAACAATTAATCTGTCTTTTAATGTGAGAAGGTGTTTTTGTTTGCTTTGAGGCTTTTACACACAGGCCCCACGAGCGTTTGCTTTCACCCCATGCACATTTTCCCTTAAACTGTAGTGTTTTGAAACCTTTCAGATTGAAAGAGAACCTCTTGAAGCTGAGCTCCTCTGCCTAGTGTCAAGGCAAGGAGTGGGATAAAACTGTCATGCACCAGTGTGCTCCCCTAGAAAGGCAGTGTCAGTTCCTATTGGCAAGTGTATCTGTCACTGTGTAACAGCATAGTGCTGTTAAAATGTAATGTGTGCAGGGCTTTTTTTTTTTCTTTATTTTCTTGTCCCTATATTGTAACTTTAAGTTGCCCTAAGCCTTTTAGTATTCTGGCACAGACTCTACCCTTTAACCTTAGAGGTTTGTTGGGTTGTTTTTCAGTGGTCCTCCAAAATGAGCACTTTACTTATCTGTTTATCAGACATTTATGAAATCATGGCTACAAGTGATTGTGTATTAATTCTGGCCGTCTTGTTTATGTATCTATTAAATTTCCAAGTTTAAAGTATTGCATTTGAATGTGTACTCCTGGAGTCGGTTATTGTGTGACTTGTTTACCATGTTTCATTTTCAGGTCTCTGATGATGAGGTATCCATCTGGATTTAAAGCACATCTCTGAGCTTCTAAGTTCTCCGTTAAAGAGATGTGTTCTATATTCATAGGTAAGGGTGTTTTTTAGGTTGGCTTGGGCCATTTTTTTAAGTATCTTGTGATTATATTTTTAATTTAGAAGATTTCAGCAACTTATTTTTATGTCTTATAGGTTAATCAGGTACTTTTATAGTGTACAGTTCTTTAGATGCCTGTGCTAGCTCTTAATTTTGACCCAAGCTAATTATTAAGCTTTGGAATTCGTATACCTAAGTGACAATGCTGTAACTAAACCACTGTAATTCTTAGTATTACAGATAGAGAAACAGCATGGTGGTATATAGGTAAATAATTTTAAAAATTGGTCTGTGATTTGACACTTTCTTTTCTGATAACAGTTCTATGGGCTTTAGTTGGGCGTCTTACCATACATATTTTGAATTTGGAGTTTTGGGAAGAAAGAAACTCCGTCCTGGAAAGCAATAAAAGGAAAGGATCTGAATTTTGTGCAATTAAAACAACACTTTTCAATAATATAAACCATATTTCGTCTGAAGAAACTTTGTGGTATTACATACCTGCACTTCAAAAAAGTAGAAACAAAAAAACCACAAAAATCTCACTAGAAAATATGACTGTTTCTAAATGCTACCAGTATTTTTAATTTTTGCAGATCTCTAAATAAAACAGCTGAGATTACTTAATACATCACAGAATTTGTTATAATGTGTTCTCTCTAAGCATGGCTTGCTGAAATATTGTTTTGAGACTCTATAAATTTATCTTGAGTTAAAAAGTTAATGTTGAAATGGATCTCTTTAAAGAAGTATAGTAAGTGGCCCAAACATATGCTGTGGGACTTTCTGATACACTGTTTCATACAGAGTTCTGTGATACACTTTGTCTTTGGTGTGGTTTTGCTCTGTTTAGTTTAAGCCAAGCTGTTCTCAATAAAAAAGCTGTCCCATTCACAGTGAAGGCAAACATCTTTGATAGAAATTTGTCTTCAGTTGCATTGGAAGATAGATTTTCTCTCCAAGTGCAATGTCGTTTGTCATGTTGGTCAACTTGAAATCTTCCGAATGGCCATAACAATTGGCAGTTACTGATTTCTTCTTTCTTTTTTCCTATAAACCTGTAATATTTATTTCCCAGAGGCTACCGGTGAGAAAGGAGGAGAGGTGGTAGACGGGAGTTTGTGCATGTCTGGGGAGTAGAGAGGGGAAACAGTTACATGAGGTGTTTGGCACAAGCAAAATGAGTGTAAATCTGAGAACTGACGGCACTGAATTGCTGTGACAAGTGCACCCAAGCCAGTTTGATCCAGTTTTATATTCTTACTCAAGTGAGTCGGAGCTGTAGCCATGGACTGGAACCTAGTCCTGGGAATTTAATTAAAGACCATCAATTTCAAATCTTTCTCTTCCTAATCTTCAAATCAAAATACAAGGTACTTGAGTTATCTTTTGAGTATTTAGCATGATATCTGTGACCTCTGTAGCAGAATAGAATGATTTTACTAAAGGAATCGCTCATTACTCAAAAATAGTTATAAATGCGTACCAATAAAAAGCAATTTTAGAATAAAATAATGCATATTTATATATATATATGTATAATTGGACGTGCATTTTTTAATTTAATGAAACAGACTACCCAAAGGGTTTTTTCTTAATTTTAGTGATACCAATAAGAGCAAATGCATCTTTTCAATCCATATTTAGCTACAGATACCATGGCACTCTTGTACAAAGACATTCCTTTATGTTAGGGAATGAAAGAGTTAGTCTTTACTAAGTGTCTAGATGTTCTTTTTTTCAATCTTCTGCATTTCTGGGATTTTGAGGAAATTATGCTGTCCCTCTGTGCATTTTAAATTTAACATGTACATTGATCTTTAAATCTGTAATAGAATATAATTTATATTGGCACATCAGTGGGAAGTAACTTCTATATTATTTAATTTACTGCAGCTTTTTGAACTTGGCTAAAGCTTTAGTTATAATTAAATCTGAGGAATAATGGTAGTGTAATTGTCTTTTATTTTTAACATTGGGGAGGCAGCGTCTCTATCATTTCTGAATATTATGCAGAAGTGATCAGGTTTTGGAGTGTCTGTTTTTTAACACGCTGTATTGTCTACCTCTTTTGATACAGTGTTCCGTCTGCTAATAGATGGGCAAATCATACAAAGCCACAAACCTGTCATGCTGTTGTATGCTACATAACAATTTTTTCAGCCTGTTGGAAAGCAAGTCTTAGGCCTGGTTGCAGGGCTTTCCTAAAAAAAAAAAAAAAACACAAAACCAAAAAACAAACAAACAAACAAAACCCAAAAAACACCCCAAAACAAACAACCACCACTTTGCATGCATATAATTGTAAGACTCTTCCCTAGTTATGACTGTGTTTACCCTTTCTGTGTCCTGTAGTCTGGATTTCTGTTATGTCATGCTTTTATGACTTCGGTTTTAGTTCCTTCTGTGTGCGAACTTGTCCCTAGCTTCTTTCTGAGATGTCTCTGCAGACAAATAATAGAAGCTATTATTTCAACTTTTTTGTGAAAATAGGCCATTCAGGGTCACTGACTTCCTCTTTGTCTATGGTACTGTCACACATCAGTCATGTGAAGAAGTGATACTTAGTCTATCGAAGTTATAAAGATGTGGATGTCATGGTAATGTACTGAATATTTACGTGATTTACTTGGTTATAACTAGAGGATCTTGTTTTCTGTTGTCACTTGAAACAAAAATAATCAAGAATGCAATTAATGAAATAAAACGTATCGGTAGTTCTTATTACTGCTACTCCCATTTAATTTTTTTTTTAAAGCAAAGTTTCATGTCTTTTTTCCATTCTGTTTTCTTTCTTTTTTGATATAGTCTGTAAAATAAATTTTTCTTTCCTTTTCTTCTGGTCTTTAAACCTTGTACCATTCTCTTCGTTTCTGCTCTTGCTTTTGTCTGTAACTACAGCTTGTCCTTTTACAACTCATATCTACCACACACTAATGTAGTATAAAAGGGGATCATCTCTTTGAGACTCTCTTTTTCTTGGTACTTCTCTCTGACAAGAGTAAAGGGTTATTATTAAACTGTGATGGACAACCAAAATGGAGAAAGTTCCACCTCCCCCTGCAAGGAGGTGCATTAGCCATGTTAACTTGAAACCTCAGTTTCCCAACCTAGGTCTGGTATTGATTCATTCTTGTTGCATGCACACCTAAAGAAAGGAATCAAACTGGGCTGAGCGTAGCCAGTTTCATTTCTAAGTGGTTTTGAATATAATAAGTAAAATTTGAAAAAAAATCTTAAAGTTCATAAAAGTTAAAATGACAGTAGTAATACATGAGGGCTGCTTTTGCAGATGAACAATAGTGCATTGATTTATATTATGTTTGTAATTGAAACAGATAGTTTTAGGCCATACAGAATACAACATTGTTTGCTGTTAAATAGGTTATGGAGAAATTAGTATATTTTCATTTACTTGGACTCGTAAGGTCTATTTTAATACCATTTCTCCTGTTCTAATACTTTGGTTTAAATCCTTAATTTAAAATAGATCTCTTAATGTTAAGAACTAGTAGATTAGAGAAAGTATAGGTGTTCAGTTTAATGAATAGTGACCAGAAGGAAAAAAAAAGAGCTGGAAGACATTTCTGTTCTGATGCAAGTATGTTTGCCGAATAGCTGAATGCTTCATGGAGAAAACGCTGTGTTTTGTGTGAGACATCAAATAATGCAGCTGGCAAGCTGAAAAAAAATACTGTTTAAATTCTAGATGGTTTAAATTCTAGATGGTTTAACATATCTGAAGATGGCAAACCTTCAAATGTGTTTCAGTTTAACTTGGGGATACTCTTGATGTTTCCTGGTAATTAATTTTAGAAAATGTCATGTTATTTAAAAAAAAAAATAAATATTTTTTCAGCATAGTGAGTCTAGTGAGCTGTTAGATGGTAGTTACCCTGGAGTAGTAGTTCCTGTTGGTTAGTTTTCTACATAAAATAAGCTTGACTGGTGCAAAGTTGAGAGTTGAAAATACAAAGGAAGAAGCTATATACTAGTAAGAAACATTGCTGAATGCCTCTGGGTTCCATTACATGTAAAAAGCAAAACCCACTGCAGAAAATTTCAGATTTACCGAATGTCCTGTAGTTGGTAAATATCATTGAAACAATTCTAGATGATAGGGGGCAGCAGCTTCTTAAATTCAAGTACAACCACCATAGTCTTCCAGTTGCTTCATCAGGTTGTACCTCTGTCGTGGTGCTCATTTTTTAGCGTTGGTCCAAGCAGTTCTTACGCATTGATGTTGTAGAGCAATCTTGCTAACTTTAAGCTGGGTAAAGATTAGTATTAAATCAGCATACGATAATAGTAGAGAATTTAGACATACAGAGTATAAGAATTAATTTAGTTTCTACAAGAAGTGTAACTTCATCACAAATTCTTGATGTAAGAGGGCACAAAGATGTCAAATTGTATTTACTAAGAGAACTCAAACTTGAGATTGCTGTAAAATGGAATTATTTACAATAACCATGATTGCTTGCGGTGAAATACTTAATTTTGACAAAATAAAGATTTTCCTTTTTAAGGAAGATGGAAAAGTGCTTTTTCAAAACTAGTTTCCCCATTCTGATTAAAATGCAGCTCCAACAGGATCTTACCTTCCATGAGAAGTATTTTGGAACTGGTACTGTAAAACACTGGCTGCCATTGCATTGTTGAACTTGTAGTTGTCAAGTCCAGTAGGTGAAAGTCTTCAAGATGTTTATTTCCTTGAATGCTTTTCTGTCAGCTGAAGGTAAAAACCTGTCCTAAGCTTGAATTGGTACCACAGATCTGTTTGGGAAAGAAGGCTGGATAAAAGTGTGTTAAAACGTAATTGTGGCTGCCGTTGTTTTCTGTATCACAGGGAGAAGGGACATGAAGAGAATCACTTACAGAAAGCATGTAAAAACTTTTCATGTTAAAACTTCTTTGTTTCATTAGGCTGGATGTGAGGAGGTAAGGTTTTTTAAAGGAAGGGACAGAAAAGTATTTGTGTGCCAATTAAGTTCAGAAATCCATCAGTCACAACTTGCCTTGATATGCCTTCACAGTTTGCAAGCTGAGCATCTGATGTTTTCATATTCAAGTACAGGAGAGAGAAACAAAAAGGACAGTGCCTCAATACATTTGGGAGATGACTTTGTGTGAAAGGCTAGTTTCTCCAAATCAAACATCCTTTAATTTCCAAGCTATTCTTTCCTTGGGGCTGAAAAAAGGTGATGGATTTTGTAGACACTGAAGAAAAAGGCTAAGGGAAAAAGTACTTCTCTGGTCAAAAACAAGGTGTCCTGGCAACAGAGTTGTATTCAGGCTATCTGCAGTGGTATCCTTTCCAAAAGAGGTTTGTGTTTGTTTTGTTTTGTTTTGTTTTTCACTTCATGATCTCTACAGAGAGGCTTTCCTCATAATAAATTTACATTGGTCTAATTAGCCTGGAGAGGTTTCTCATGTATCTGGCCTTTAGAAATCTCAGTTTGGAAGCTCATCTGTGCTACCCTTTTTGCTTGGATCCTTGAAGTGAAGCTGACATCTTCAGGTTATGTTTCCTTTTTATACCTAATAAGATTTATTTGTTTTAGAAAGCCTTTGCATTTTAAAAGGAGACAATACAAACTCTCTTATTTCCTCCCTTTTACTTTCCTTATGCTGAAAGAAAGTAGGAAAAACTAAGATGAAAAGTCTTTCTTGGGTTTTGAGCAAAGAAGCAAATTTCTGTGAGGCAAGCTCAGAGTTACAGCATTGTGACCGCAGTGATGCCAGCTGTTCCACATGCTTTTTTCCCATTTTTTACTGTAAAGGTCCACAGTAGTCAATAAAACATGAAGAGCTTGTCTGGTATGTGTTTTTTCAATACAGGGTTGTTTTAGTCCTGATGGTTGTAGTCTACTATGTAGTTAAACTCAAGAGCATGTATAGTAGCCAATTACCATAGAATAGCTGGCCCACACGTCACTTAAAATATGCTAAAAAAATAAAAATTGTACATGCTGTTGTGTCTACGTTGCTAAAGATGGAAGCAATCCCTATTTTTGCTATTTTTTTCAAGCTACCACAAGTTGAACAGCCTTCCTTATAAATCACAGTGAAATATAGTTTATCTCTGGGCATTACCAAGGAGCTACATCCTCAGTCTGAATAGGTACACTTTTATTGATACATACAGGCTTCAAATTAGAGTTAACAGTAGAGTCCTTGATAGCTGGGAACATGACATTTTACACACGGCTACTGTAATTTCCATCTGTCTTCCCTCAGATGGGGGTTTCTTTAATTAGATCATTTGTTCTGCATCTACAATGTTCTTTCCTCGTACTTAATCTGACTTGGTTGTCTTCCTTTAGCTAAAATAGCTCTCCCCCAACTTATCTTTGAAGTTGAAATATCCTAAGATGAGAGGTGATTATATTAGCAATGTTAGAAAAACGTAAAATCATGCCACCACATCTGCCTGCTTTGTGATGTTGGCTTATCATCTGTTGAAAGGTGTTTGATAACTGAGAAAGTAATTATTCTGTTGTTTTTAATCATCAGCAGACAACTTAAGGAGTATTAGAAGATCATGGGGTCTAACTGATGTTAGTGCTTCCTTTAACTTGGGACTTCAGGAAGTCCTAACTTTAAGCAATAAATTGTATCATCTGGAATCTGCAGCTATGTTGCTATGCTAAGCTTCTGTGCCTTTTTTATGGCATAGGAGCTAAACTCTATACTCCCAGTAATTAACACTCATACCACTCCAGGCTTGATAGATGTCACCAATTGGTGCCTTTCAGTGTGACAGAGGATCCGTCTATGCTTATGTGTAGACCAGAGGTTTTATATATCCCAACCCTCAACAACACTTATTAATTTAAGTTAGGCTTTATTCTGACTATAGTCACAGCTATTCCAGTGGGCTAGGAGTATAAGTAGAACAAGTTTTTATCAGCTTGTCAAAGACTTTTTTTGTATATAATAGGTTCAACAAGAGCCTTGCCTGTACAAGAATATTTTGCATTTCCAGGGTGTCCCATTTCTGGAAGAATTCTATACTCATTTTATTCTTAGGTGAATTCATTAATGAAGAATTGCAGTTGGAATGGAGGAGGAGAGCATGAAGGTGAGCTTTAGTGGTAGGGTTAGGAATTAAAAGCTCTGGCTGTTGTCTTTCCTTTTTTATTTATGGTGATTAGATAAATGTATTGACAGGATAAAGGGTGCTCATTTAAGTGATTGCTCCTCTATTCTAGAGGTTTAGTAGTTATCTGGGGAGGTAAACTATCACAGAGGCACGTTTTCATTCATCTCCTGTTCTGTTTGATTACACTGCGAATGTGCAACGTAAACTAAAGTTAAACAAACCATCCTTCTCAGCTCCCTTTGCCTGAAATCCCTGATTGCAAACTCTAGTTCATTGTTAATCGTTCAGCCATACTATGAATAAATAAAAAGGAAAACCAGCTTCTGTTTCAAAACCAGTTTAGTGTGTAAACTCTGTTGTTGAACCCAAGGTAGTTCTTTTCCTGTGTTTATCACCCGTATCACTGTATTCATCAGCTTGTCTTTCCTTTAAATTCCTTAAGTGAGGTAAAGTGAGTTTTTCAGAATCTTACTTAATGCGACTTGATAGAAGAAACGGAGTATCTCAGCTTTTCCACCTGAATTAAGGTAGCTTTGTTATTAAATGTAGTTTATAAACGCTCAAGTTGCTTATTTAAACATACAGAATTACTGTGTACTTTTATGTATTATGGTTTCTTTCTACAAACTAATTTTAATTTTAATAAAAACTGTGATTCTGTTACAATTTGGTAAAGTGGCAAAGGAGAGTCTAAAATTGTGCTTATGTAATAGAGCAAGCTAAATGAAAACAACAAACTATTACATTTAAAACATAAAATAGTACTTTATCTTTTTTGTACCTTATGTAATTAAATGCTGCACAGGGCATTGAGTATAAGCAAAAATAATTGATTTGTGGTTTAACTAAACTGTAAAGTTATGAACAAAATACCAGACATCCTTAAGTTTTGGGGAGGTGAAGGAGGGATGAAGAGAGTCATGAAAGTAACTTCTCTCTGGTTTTTTTTTTTTCTGCCCTCTCATAGGATGCTTTAACACTTTACGACAAATGTTTCATCAGAAGCAGTAATGGATGTTGGCATGCCTTGGATAAGGTGGTGACCGCTGGATGTCATTTGTTTCTGTTTGCTGCAGAGAGCCAGAATTGACTCCATTTGGAGTTGAGAGAAAAAAAAGCAGTACAGACCTATCAAGATGACTGATCCTATGATGGATTTTTTTGATGATGCCAATCTTTTTAGCGAGACCTTAGAAGGTTTGTCAGATGATGCCTTTGTTCAACCTGGACCTGTTTCACTTGTTGATGAATTGAATTTGGGTGCAGAATTTGAACCTTTGCACATAGACTCATTGAACCATGTGCAAGATGCTCAAAATCCACAGAAGATGAGTGAGTTTGATCAGCTAAATCAGTATGATTCACTGAAACTTCACTCAGTAAATCAGTCTTTTAATAGCTCAGCTGACAACGTCTTATCACCACACTCTCAGTTCAGTTGTTCACCAATTCATCCGCAAAACCAGTCTAATGGGATGTTTCCAGATGTGGCTGATGGTAGTCCTATGTGGGGTCATCAAACTGCCACTACTGTTTCGAATCAAAATGGGTCCCCCTTTCACCAAGGACATTCTCAGTCTATGCAGCAAAACAAAAGCTTTGTAGCACACCATGACTTTGCCTTATTTCAGGCTAATGAACCGCAGCATCAGTGTGCCTCGCTAAGGTCGCAACAAAGCAGAAGCAACACGGGGCAAGATGCTCTGAGTCAGCCAAAAGACTTCATGGAAGTTAATGTATCTACTTCTCACAGAGTCAGTGTTAACCACCCACCTTCAGTTTCTAATCCATCAGCTTCACAGCAGCCTCTGTCTGTTCAACAGTTTTCTCAAACTGCAAGTGCTTCAATACATTTTTGTGGGAATCAAGAAGGAAATTTTGATGGACAGTCCCCAACCATTACTCCGTGTTCTGTCAATAATAGCCAACAATTTTCATCTCCTTATTCTTACTCTAATAACCACATTTCTCCTACCAGCCTTCTTCAGTCTACGACAGCTCTTTCTACTAGCCAGCAGACACACTCTATCTCTGACTTCACTGGAAGCGATGCCTTTACATCTCAAACAGGGACCAAGGAAGAAACAACTGAGCACATGCTGAATCCTAGTACACCTTTGAATTCAAATAGTTTTCAAATGTTGCATTCTGCGCATCCTCAGGGCAACTTTAGTAGTTCAAAACTCTCTCCTGTGAATATTAATTTTCCAGCTTCTGCTGGTTCTGCTTCTCAGATAAGCCATTTCACTGACCCTATTGAAAGCAACGGTTTTACGTCTTTAGATGAGAACTTACTTCATCAAGTTGAGGCTCATAATGAACCATTTACAGGACTTGACCCTGATGACCTCCTTCAGGGTGACCTTCTGCCACAGTTCGATGATTCTGCGTTTGTTCAGGATAGCACAAGCCATGTTTTGGAGCATGACCTAGAACACCATATAACCCCACAGCAAGTAACACAGTCGTCTGATCTTGTTCGGGTACAGTCTCAAAGTCAGATCCATCCTTGGCATTCTTCAGTTTCTAATCAGCATCTGCAAGAGAGAGGTCGTGTGACCTTACAAAGACAGGTACGTAGGGATTTGGGGAGTGGGGGTTTGAGCTGTTTGATTTGGTTGATCTGGTGAAATGAGTAATAGTGACTGGTGCTTGTGCCAAAGTATGGTAACTGAAGTCTCTGAGCTGTTGTGATTTGACCCTGAAGAAGTCTTAAGTAACTGCTAGTTTAGAAAAAAAAACACACCCCTGTTCATTTCCACCTTGCTTTCTCCTAGTGTTTTCTTACTGTTATAGAAAACAAGATTTGACCTGAAATATTAAGAGAAAATGGTGCCGGTTCTTCTGCTGCTTATATTTCCGAAGTACAGAAGAGCAAATTGGTTGTTTTATGACTTAGGTGCAAATATAATGGCTAATTGTCTTTTCAAGTACTCATAGCGACATATTTTTAAGTGCTTTAATGAGGCTTATGTGGCTGATTTCCTGCAAGAATTGCACTGGTTTTGTTGTTACTCGGTCCTTTGCTTGGTACTTTTGTGCTCATGCTCGTTGGCTAAAAATGCAAACTTGTTTTTGACGTGATTAGCAATAATAGAAAATGTATAAAAGACTATGTTGGTGTTTGATTTTTGTTAGTTTTGGCTGAAACAAAAATCTCTGCAGTTGATTCAGTGTAACGTGCACATCTACTGCAAGTATTAAAGCCCTGCACATGGAACAAAGTAGCATAAAAATTATATTGTAATTTTTTAATGGTATACGAGAGAAATGAACTGTGCAGACAGTGCTTTTCAGATTGTTTGAGAAACTTAAAATTGTGTGAGTATTGAAGTATTCAGAAAAACAATCCTTCAATCTTTCAGCCTGTTTTTATGAGTGCTTTCTCATAACATATATATGAGATAGTTTTAATTGAGATATAAAGTCCACTTTTTTTTTTAACGCTGACCTGTATCTTCATCTGTATCATCACTTTTCTTGTATAGGAAGTGTGTGAGTGTCCAATAAATTGAAATATAGACTGGTGCTTCTGGATTGCTTTGGTCTCTTATGAGAGTAGCTAAGCTTTTTGAAAATAAAATGAAATAGGGCAAGTTATTTTTCACAACACTGTAACCAGCAAAGTCATGTTTTTATTACAGCTTCCAAAAACATTGGCATATGTGAGATTCTTGCAGATTTTTCAGCTCAGAAAAATTCCTAAATCAAAAGAAAATACATCTCGACTACAGGAGAGACTTAATAACCAAAGGCACAAATAATTATTTGTTCAGCTTTAAAAATTTATCAATCTTTGCAGCTATTGGTATGATTTTGGAGGCTAGTTTAGTAGCTTTGCTTGTTAACGCTTGGAGAGTGGTATCAATGACTGCATTATCTCTAAGTTAATACCTTACATATTATCACAGTTTGGCCCTGCTTGGTAGCTTCCAGCCCAAATTTGATTTGACAGGAATGATTGAAACGTTTTCAGTTAGATGGTTTGTCAGATGGAGCTGGAGCTTCTGTATGATAAATGGACATATTCACCTGCCACTGCTGGTTATCTAGGGTTTCCAAAATTGTGAGACACTTGAAATCCATGTACATGTGAACAGTGAAAGTATGAATTTTTATTTTAAACTCCTATTTTGAATTCTAGTAGGAATTTAGCTTGTATTTGGGAAAGGACAGGGAATATAAATGTTTTCTGGTTTTCAGTCGGTACATTTCAAAATAGAGGAAACTCTGACATCAAATGTATATGTGGAGACTGCTTTAAAAAGGTTCTAATAACTGTATTACTTCTCTGTATTCTTCCTACCAACATTTTCTCTACCTGAGAATATAGAATGGTGTCTTACTGGAAAAAAAAAATTGGTAAGGAAAGGAACTTGAGTTACTAACTCTTGGTTCTACTCAGTTTGCAGGACACAGGCCTGTGGAGGGGGCAATGTAACACTTTTTTTTACCCCTTTAATTTTATGTCATTATTGTAGAGAGAAGGGTTTAACACTTTGGTCTTGGTTCAGTAGATTGCTCTTCCGGTACAATTTGTGCTTATGTTTAAGGAGTGTCTAATTTTCAATTCCTACTAGTGAAACTTTTTTGGTAAAGTTGTGGTGTGATGTTAACAGGACGTGTCTCTGGCTGTGTATTTGAGATTAGCTTGATGAACCAAATGATGCACTAGGTGCATTCTGTGGGTTTTGATAAACATTTCTTATTTTTTAGGCTGAGGAGGGCAAAGAAGAGGGCACAGCCCAAGTAGCTACTCTTGGCAGAGTAAAGACACCTAAAGACACATGGTATAGCTGCTAGGGAGACGTGATTCTGTTTATTACTGCGTGTACAGCACTGCCGGGGGAGCAGCGCCCCAGTTCCGTGCCAGGAAGCGGAGCAGCAGAGCCCAGAGCTGCGAACAGTCCAACAGTCCTGCTGAGGCTGCTGGTCTCCCATGAGCATACTTGAGGTGAAGGGTGAAGAGGAAGTGGATTCCAGGAAAAGTGGGGGTGGTGAGAATTCCAGGGGTTAGTATCGCTTGTGAGGAGCATGTGGGATACGAGCCAGGCAGCGAAATGTAGGTCTAATAAAACTTGCTGGTGCTGTGACTTTTCTGTTGTATGCGTCAGACCGTTGTAAGACTTACTTCGATCTCGCTGACATCAGCTTTAGCACTTTGTTTTCTAACTAGGAATAGAGGGAAAGTTCTAAGGCCTGTGGAGAGTGTTGAAGGTTTTTGGGGTTTGGTTTTGGTTTTTATTGTGGTGTGAAAACAAAGCAACTTTACGGTATTTAAAAATGTTTTTCCCCTGGAACTTTGAAATGAAGCAGAAAACAGGTAGCTGCTTGGTTTGGTTTTTGTTATTTCAGGGTATGGGATAAATTGTAGAAATTGGATTCTGACCTTGAGTTTATCAAATCGGACAGATGTCTGATGTTTCCTTCAGAAACTGGTTGTGAAGCAGTGGCTGTCAAACTATTGTGAGGAATGTATTGATGGGGGAGTGACAGAAGCAAACAATGTGGAAGCCTCTGTGTATGTAATGTGAATAGTAATAGAAAAGTATGGCAATTACTGAAGAAGTGTTTCCGATGAATCATTTGTCTGATTACAATTCTAAAAGGGGTTTGAGTTACGATTCTTTTAATGTTTGATCACTTTGTAGCATTTAAAGTTCAAGATGAGTTTGTTCTGTTTGAGATTTTTACAAATGTGTATAGTTTAACCAGAGACTAACAAGATAGGGTAAGGGATGGGGAGGGAGTATTGGTTTTACTGAAACTGGTTGTCTTTCTGGGAATGGTGGGAAGGGATTTGGATAAATTTCTTATGTAATATTTAAAGTGAAACTTGCATTGTTTGAGAAAACAAAGTTTCATACTGGCTTTTGTACACATTGAGGAAATAATTACTAGTGGATTTAATTATTTTCATCACTTTTAGTTTGATAATTATTCTTTCAGAAAGGAAAACTTTTTATTTTATGAAACAGTTAATGAACTGTAGCTATTGGAATGGACCCAACACTAGACGACCAAAGATCTTTAACTACAGTTATGCTGAGATTATTTAAAATTGAGAAAGAACATTAAATACTTGTTTCATTATTTGGAAGCGAGCATACACATCACATTTTTACTTGTACAGCTATTTTGATAGAAATTAATTTTAAAATTAATACAGTCTGTTCAGTGTAATAATGCTGCAGAGTTAAAAACAATCTAGAATGTTTTATGCTGCTATTATACTTTCTGTGCCTGCTGTAATTAGATTATAATTGTAAATAAATTGTGCCTCTTAATTTTACATCATGCATTTTTCATCAGTTTGAGAACAAAGTGGAGAAACATATTGAAGGTTCATGTAGCCTCAGCTTTGACTAATATAACACTTCTGATCCTTTAAACTCCACTTAAAACTGTTTTGAGTTTGCTAAAGCTAAATAATCAGTTTGCTTTTCATAAAGTTGAAAAAAGATGACAAAAATACAGGCTTCAGCATTTAGTTTTGCATGTTTAGAAGAAGGAAGTTGGAAAGATAATCTGAAGTATAAACTGTCATGAGAGAAGCTGACAACCATCTCGCTGTGTATGTTATTTTGTAATAAGCCTTTAAATCTCTATGAGCTGTATACATGAAAGCAGAATAATTGGGATTAAACTGGAAAACAGTATTCCATTAACAATCTTAAGTGCGATAGGACAAGGTGATAGTCTTAGTTCTTAAATCAGGTGAAATGTTTTTTTCCCCTTTTGTGATTGAAAGTTTGGCACCTAACTTGATAATTCAGTATATTCCTGAATTCCAGTATACCACATCATATCTTGTAATCTTAAAATGTAAAAAACCACACCCCTGAAAAAAGCAACCTCCAAACCAAAAGAGCCCCCAAACCTTGTTCTTTTCCTAAAATGCTTAATAGTGCTGGTAGAACTCCCATTAAGCATATCTACTGTATTTGTATTGTTCTTGTTCCTTTGATTATTGTTAATTTTATCGGTGACATCATTGTATTAACAAACGTAAATCTTTGAACTTGCTTTTAACCATTTTTAGGAGTTGCATGCTCTGGGTTGAGTTCTCTGTGCTTACAGAACAATTTTCACCTTCCTCGCAGGAGCTTAAACAATTCTCTGCCACAGTGAGGCAGCAGAATTCAGTTGTCAGTTCCCAGCACCTACTAGGTTTATCATGTGTGTACAAGTAATGAAAGTGATCCTTCCACGGACCTTCTTTGTACTCTTTTCCAGCTTTACTACTTGCTTTCTATTATTTTCAGAAAGGCCTGAACAAACAGGAGGGAGTGAAGGTGGAGAAGCTGTGTCAAATGCACAGAGTCACTGAGAGGAGCAGCAGGGCAGCAGCTTCGAGCTTCAGTAGTACAGTTCCTGGAGTGAACCCAGTCTTTTTAACTGTACCTGTATATAAGATGTTTTCAGTACTAGTCTGTGGCTTTTTGGCAATGATGTATTCATCACTGACGATAGCAATGTTTTGATAGCTTTATCGTTGGATGTGTATGAAGCATTTCCTTTTGTATATAATCTTAGTTTTATATGAGCATTTTATACATTTTATTTCTTCTTAAAATGACAAATTGCACAGGTTGGGGAAGGAAGTACATGTTTGTGAGATTAGTTTGTAACATGTTTACTAATGACTATTTATTATAATTTTTAATTTCACCATTTTTCATTTGCCTTGTTTGTTCTTTCAAAATACAGCTGTATAGGAAGGGGAAGGGAAAAATTGCTGGACCTTTAAGAACAGGGACACATGCCAGAGTACCTGCTTTACTGTTTTAAAGGCTTTGAGTTTGTAATTACAACCTCTGTTGGGTAAATTGTTTCATCATTCTTTTTTTTGAACCTTTTTTGCTGTCACCAATGCTTTTCTTAAGTCTCTCAGCCGTCATAGTTCATCAGATAATTAGGCTGTCCAATTCTTTGTGTTTCCTCTTTAAAACCAAGTACTTGCTGGTGTAATGATTGTTATAATTTAGGAATATAATTTTTCCTGAGATAATTGCACACTCATTAAATTGACTGCAATAATTGTCTTTAAAATGTGCCAAAAGAGAAGCCTTTTTGTAAAAAGTAGTTAACAGATGGCAAGCAGAGGAAGGAAGCTTCTGGCTAGGTCAACTTACAGGAGTAATCCTACAGACATCAAGGTGAGACTAGTTGACAAAAATACGTAAAATAGATAGTATTTTTTAAGGATATTGCAGAATAAGTGTGATTGAATAATCTAAATAATTATTTGCAAGCAGATGTCTTGTTAACACTGAAGAACTATAGAGCAATTCAGTAATGTGAGAGTACCAATATAATGTACAAGCTTACTGTCTGGAAGAAGTGGTACCTAATTACAGAGAAAACAGAAAGCCCGTCTTAAATTGTCTTGTGAAGACAGCAACCCATACAATAGACTGCTAAAAGCTGTAGTTGAATAAATGCCTAAACTAAGGGAAAAAAAGTTTATGGAAAAAAGCTCCCATTCCTCCACTTTGTGCTATGAACTCAACTGGGAAACTCATTCAGGTGCAGAGAAAATTGTGTTCATGCAAGCATTTGTGCTATGAACTGAACTGGGAAACTCATTCAGGTGCAGAGAAACTTTTTACTTTTTTTGTCAAGGGTGTTTTTCAGGAAGACAAGTTCCTGATGTAGTTCTTCTCTTGGTTGCACAGGATTGTGTACCATAGAAACAGTGGTGGGGAGAGAGGAAGGAGTGGGGAGCATCATTTTCTGCAGTAAAGGCAAAATAGCTGTACAGGGAACCGCAGCCTCAAATGCAAAGAGAGTGCAAGCGGGCCTGTTGTGGGAATATCCATTAGCACCGGTAACCACTAATGTGCTTTGGCTGACACTCTTATCTAAAGTCTGAATTTTTGAGTGGCTTCAGACATACCATTGCCTCCAAAACTTACAGAACAGTGCTTCATCCTGAGATACTTTGTAGAAAATCAACACTTTATAAAGTGTTAGTGAAGTGTTATTACTGAAATAGAAGCAGAACTTGTAAAGATGTTAACCAGTAGTATGGTTTTGAGGCCAAAGAATCTGAAGTACATTTGGAATTCACGTGGCTTTTGTCCAGATGTCTGTGTGCTTTGTGCACTCGGGTTTTACAATTTTTTAGCTGTTATGTTAATTCTAAATATACGGAGAGATCAAAATAATTTCCAGCACTTTGTCTAACAGCCTCATACATCTGGAGTGGTATTGTTTCCTTTGTTCATTATCGGGTTAAAAAGTTTGCACAAGTTCCTGGTTGCATGGATTTCCAAGACAACGTCTGTCTACAGGTTTTGAGTGGATTGAATTTCGAAACTCTTTTAAGGCTAATAAATACAACTGAGTGAATTTCTAGGATGATGAGACTGAGAACTCTTATGTTGATTTGAGTAAGTTTGATAAATGACTCTAGAAGTGTAGCTTTAGGCTAGAACCAGTTGACAAGTCTTACGTTTTTGAAAGCTGTGTAATTTGTAGTAGAGATTTTTATTTTTTTTTCTTTCATAAATGTGGCAGGTTTTCTTTACTGGGGGTTATTTGGCTTGTGTTTGCACTTAGGGTTTTTGCTCCCTTGATGTCTTACTGTGAAGGCTAGCATTTTGATTTATATCCTGGGAAAATCATAGAATCACAGAATGGATTGGGTTGTAAAGGACCTTAGAGTTCATCCAGTTCCAACCCCCCTGCCATGGGCAGGGACACCTCCCACTAGCCCAGGTTGCTCAAAGCCTCATCCAGCCTGGCCTTGAACCCCTTCAGGGATGGGGCATCCACAGCTCCTCTG